AGAGAGAGAGAGAGAGAGAGAGAGAGAGAGAGAGAGAGAGAGAGAGAGAGAGAGAGAGAGAAAAAGAAGAGAGAGAGCGAGAGAGAGAGAGGGGGAGAGAGAGAGAGGGGGTGAGACAGTGAATAGTCAACAGAACATCCGCGTCCGATGCAGAAGGAGACGAGGAGGAGGAACAGCGGTCGTCGCAACGAGGGAGGAAGGAGATAACTTAACTTCCCCAGTCACGCAGCGCAGCGAACCATCGATCGTGTGAAGTCGAAATGAACAGCCCGTCCACGGTACCGGCGGCATGTCATCAGGTTTCGGAACTCAGAGAGATATCGAGTTACGACCGTCCCGGATATATAGAAGCAACCAGTAGTGGGAATTCGAAAAAAATCCCTTGCCAAGATCCTGCTCTAATCCTCGCGACCCCTACTCTGCCAACCCGTAATTTGGGTACCAGCTAATGGACACAGTCCCTCTACTGTATGACCCTTGCAAGAGGCCAATCAAAACTCGACCCCTCACTTTGTAGCCTCTTCATAACCTCTTCATAGGTCCAGACAGAACAAAGCCTTCTCGGGTACTAGCTTTAAGGTCCTAAATAAGCATGGTCTGGCAGACCAGAATAACAATACTTCTGTTTTTTATTTTTCTTTTTATTCTTCCAGTTTCCCTTGTCTATTCCGCGAACATCTTCTCCCAACCAATTAGACACTCTACCCAATCATCCCAACAACCTGCAAATTTGGATGAGAAAACTGTTAGTGAACCATCAAAGTATGTATCTGGGTAACTGCGGAGCCGGAGCTCTTTCTTCAGTGTGAGGAGGAAGATGAGTTTTGCAGAAGGTATTGAAGAAAAAAATTTGGCTCTATGGAGAAAGGAGCTGATGACTGCCAATTTCTGTTGCTTGCTGGAGCAAGATCTGAAGTCTTGGATGGCCTGAAACATAATATCGCCTGTAGCCATGAGTGGGGCTTGATTGCGATGAGAAGGGAAGCACAACACCCCTATTGGCGCTGGGAAGACTTGCAGTTGGCAACCCAAAAATTCCCATTTCTCATTACTACTAGTGCATTCCAAAGTCAAATTATCATCATAACATTCTCTGAACTTCTTGAGTACTGACCTGCTTCTGTCATGATAAATCTGGCACCCTTTTTTGTATTTTATAAATACCGAAACATCATCTACCAGCCTTACTCCATGAAACAGTGCCCTGTCTTTCCCTAACGAGGCCAAAAAATGTACCTCATTATGCATACACAACATAGCAGCCAGCGCCGGACTAGCCGATTTACCCATGGGAACCCCCTCTTCTTGTTTCAAAACTTTATCCATGATCATGACATAAGTATGCTGGAAATCAAATAAGACGAATTCCTCTATCTGCCAGAAGGTGATGAGCTTCCAACCAAGCTTAGATCTAGATATTGAAAGTCTTGCTTCCTTGCCTCTACCTTTAACCCAAACCCCATGAAAACCTTTCGTTTGAAAAAAATAGGTAAACCATCTTACTGCAGCCTGTATTGATGCATGTGGTAACTTAGTGAACATCTCTTTGACGTCGAAGCTAGCGCTGAGCAAGTTCTCCTCAGATGAAACTGACCTGTTAATGTTGTGTAAAGCGCCCATCAGTTCTTTTGTGCTAAACAGGTTGAGATGTAGGGAGCCAGGAAGAGCCTTAATCAGGGCATTCAAACAAGCCGTAATCCTTTTGCAGGCCGCCAGTGTGGGTTCAGACGATGTGGGCCATATCGGCCGCCATTTCGAAATGCTTTTGTGCTTAGGTATCACATATCCATTCCCTAGCTGTCCTTTCTGGTTCCAAGCAGAGATCGCCTCTAGTCCCTGACTTTTGTAATCTTTCTTGCAAGTTAGCAGGATAGCGTCCTCATTCAATTTTACTTCTGCGAAACCCGGATTTTTGTGGAAGAGAAGATCAATACCTTTCTGGTAAAACGTTGGACAGCAAAAAAGAGTATCTCCGGGATTGTGATCCATAGGTGCTAACACTAACCCTTTGAGGAGTTCTTTACATACTTCCACACCTTCCGGGGAGAAAGGTATCGATCTTAGATCCTTGAGGGACTTGGGGGAAGCTACAGAAGAGAGGTGAACATCCTGGGGTGAATGGTTTCTGAAGCAGGTAATCAACAAGGACGGTGAGATGTGAAGATCATGAGAAGGCATCAGTAGTGGCATCTCTTTGAGCGTTCGGAGGATCTGAGTTCGCAGGAAAGAAGGGCCATAAGCGATGGAGGGAGGGGGGATATTTCTGGAGTTCCGGAGCCATTCAGGAATGAGGGCCGAGTCTTTAGCCTTGAATACAATGTGTCCATCTACTGCTGGCAATAGTGATAGCATCATCTTCTCCTCAAGAAAAAACTCGAATCTCATGTAGATAGCTGCACATTCACAATTCAGGCTATCCATTCGAGAATAGGTCCGAAAATTCTGCAGAGACTGTGCTAGACTCTCGTTCTTTGTCCACACAACACGCATTCTCCTTGCTAACATCAGAGCTAAAGGTTTGGACAGACAAGATTCACTGACTAAGCGAGCCCACACCAATCTCACATTCGCCTTGGATAAGGATTCTGAAAATTTAATTCTAAAAACCAGTCTTTTTCGCGGGCAAAACCCGAATCTTCTGCGAATCACTCCAGACAAAATCGTTCTCAGAATCTGCCTAGACTCTTTCCTGGAAAAACACCTAATTGTGTTGTAGGCAAAAACGAGATTATCCAGAGGCCACTTGTACAGATCCTTCCTTTCGAAGGGGTGACTGAGAAACCTGGCCATTGGTGCTTTCAACAATTCAGCATGAGAACAAAACCTAATAATACTAACCACATGAATTACACTCCCACTTAGCAGCCAAGCCTTGCAATGTTTCAGTTGATCTCTACCATACCTGCTAGCTACTATCGATGCACCATACATCCTTTTCACAACTTTTCAGGAATCCGCAAGCACACTTCCTCCTTTACTAATCACTGAGATAGATTTTGTGCCCAACCTATTGCATTCATTCAAAATGAATAACAGCGAGATGGAAGTAATACCCAAAGAGGAAACCAACTTTGCGAGATGCTTCTTTGTTGATAAAGAATTACCCAGACTCTTTACTGCTATGCGTTCCTTAATCTGATTTCTTGATGCTTGTTTCTTCCTTTCACGTTTACCTGGCCTGTATCTTGATTTTCTTCTCTTCATGTTACCGCCGTGACGCGTGTTGAGGTAGGGAGACAGTACACCTATCATTCTATTTTCTGCAGGTAACAAGTCCAACTGGGAAACGACCGCCAAAGGAATTGCTACATAATGATAAACCCCTGTTCTTCTAAGCCACCTGTATAGCCTATGGTTCCTGGTCACGGTGGATTGCTTATCAACAGCTAAGGCCCGATTAACATGTTCACCCCATCTAAGATTTAGATTCCTGGAAGTGCAACCAACGTAGCAGTGCTTAGCAAAGGGAGAGACGAGACAGGAGACAACCGGGCCAGGAGCTGCGTAGAAATCATATCCAGATTGAAGCAGATGTAGCAAAAAAACAGATAACTTGAGCCCCCATGGAATATGACCGAGAAGAATTAAGGAAGTCACGACAAAGATTCTCTAATTTAGTGCTAAGCAATCCTTCTCTGGACTTCCTAAGTAGAAAACACAGATGTAACAGTTCCCATAATACTCGTCCGCTTGGGCAGAGTCCCTATTCCTCTCCAAGCTGTTCGTCATCGTCGGCATCGATATGCTGCGTTTCCTGCACATCCGTACCTACCTCCGTATCATCACGTATCTCCTCTGCCGCTGAATCCTGCTGGGCGCGAGTACTCTTGCAGTTGTCTCTGGCGACTGGTCGAAAATCGAAGGGGAGAGACGCACGAAGCTCTGCTAACTCATTGATCGCCTGTTCACAGGTGACGAAGCTGATACCTTCCTTACCGCATAGGATTTGAAGACCATGCTTCTTCAGCCTCTTTAGGTACTTCTTCGTCTCTTTGATAAACTCGTTTCTCTCAGTGATCGCGGCCTTGGAAGCAAGCCTGTCCGACGTTCTCTTCGGCGGTGAAGGTCTCAACGTTAAGTCATCCAACCCTTCCTCAGTCTGGCCTTGATCGTCGCCGCGCTCAACATCAGTGGCCTCATTCATCCTCTTGGTCAGATTAGATCAGGGAGTCCGACCTTGCCTGACTAATTTTGCCATTGCCTTCTCAAAACGATCCCTCAGAGCCTGTACTTCAATATCAGCCATTCGCTTCTCCTCCTTCATCAAATTGTAAGCTCTGAGGAGCTTCTGGAACTCACTGGATGTTGTTGTTCCCGTACCCAATACACGCGCCTTCCCTCTGGCAGGCGCCTCTGGAGGACTTGTAATGCAGACACCTGATCCCGCTCTCTTCGTCCCTGCGCTAGTCTGTTTTAGAGTTCTGGTCAACTCCTCCATATGCTTCTTAATACATTCGTGCTCGCGTCTCACGACTTCAATCTGCTTCTCCAACTGTTCTTTCTCCACATCCACCGTAGCACGCCCTCTTAGTTGAACTCCACGAGCTCTTGCAGGATCAGTTGGCGAAATCCTGTCTTTGTCCGTTTTGCCAAGGAAGATCTCGCAAGCATCGTTAATCTTCGTACCAACTATCGCCCCAATTCTTTCTTCGAAATCTTGCCTCTCCTTAAGCTTACGAAGAGCCTTGTCCTCAGCTTCCTTGGCCTTCTTTCTGTCCTCCTCTTCCTTGAGCATCCTCTCCTTCTCTCTGATGGCCTCCTGCCTTGCCTCCTGTTCTGATGCCATGAATTCATAAACGCGATCTAACTTCTCTTGATTGAGCTTCCACCAAGATTGCCTCGGGATAATAGCCTGCGAAGGATTCGTGCTGATGGTAGACTACGGGGGAGGTGGGGGAAGAGCAAGAAGGGGTGTCTGTGAAGGTAAGCCTCTGTGCGATGATGATGGGAGTGATGAAGCAGCAGAAGGTGGGGGTAACGGTAGGAAAGCAGATGGGCGGTGGTTGAGGGATGGTTGGCGGTAGGGGGATGGTTGGCGGTAGGGGCACTCACGCGCAAAGTGCCCCAGCATGTTACAATTATAACAAAGCCTGGGAGGCGACATTTCCACACAGCAAGCGAAACGGACAACCGACAGGAATTAGAACTGAATTCTGAAAGTCGTAATCAGGAAGAAGGTAGTTGATACCAGCGTAATTTCACTTAGATTCTGACAAGATTCCACAATATCCACCACGTAGGTTTACGGTAACTTACACGTTTTCAATCAACAAAACTTTCCTCGTTGAGTATCGGTCAAATCGAGCTGCAGATGACTGGTGGGAATTCAGAGGCAAGGCGAGTAGAAACACAAGCAAAAGATCATGGGAGTAATACGATGAGCGAAGGAATAAATCATGAGCAAATAGGGGCCGAGTATGAGATCAGAACATTAGATAAGTGACAGGCGGAACCGTGAACGAGGGAATAACAAATGAGATGATGGGGTAACAGGGTACACAAACCCAGGCAACCACACAACAGTAGTGCAATTTCTACTATGGTTATTGCTCGAGTCAAAGTTGGAACAAGAGCAAAGCGAAGGGCCTAAAATGCTCTGGGGAAACAGATAGACAAGTGGGATTTCAAGGTGTGAGAAAAAGAGGAAGAAGAATAATCCACATTAATACGAATAGTCACGACGATGAGGTCTAGCAAGCCGGTTGGCATCAAACCTTTTGCATTTCTCTATGGCATACCTCAAAGTTCCATACGAAATCTCAGAAAAAATGCGGAGGACTCGAAGCCAAAAAATAACTGCATCCAAAGACCACATGAATATTTTTAACCAATCCATTTTTATATATATATAACCCTTAATACCAATCAACAACAAATTCAGATTACAGAAAGAGCAGAACCACACATTTCCAATCGGAAAGGGCGGAGAGGAAGGGGGCAACGAAAAATGACAAAGAGGTGACTCAATACAAGGAAGGAGAGGGAGGGAGAGGGAGGGAGGGAGTAAGAGCGAGAGGAAGAGAAAGAGAGAGYGCGCCAAGATGGACACGTATGGAAGCAGAGCAGTAACAGGAAAGAGAAGAGTGCCAACGCCCGAAAKCYAGAGATAGTAACAGGAGTCGACAAYGATCTCTCTCGAAGCCCAAGCGGTAATCTTAAAAATAATTCATGAAGTACATTTGTGCCAACTCATGTGACGAGAAGCATAAATCAGGCATAGTGCCTTCATCCATCCCACTCGTCCGAAGAG